CAACAGACAACCTTCTACATTTCGCTTGTCTGTTCTGCAGGCCTAGGTCTAACTACGAAGCCTACGACCCTTAGCCCCAAACCCTAAACCCACGACGGTGTGCCTTGAACCCTTTCCCCTGGATCTTGATATTCCTATATATATAAAGACCCTTGGCCTTCAAGGTGGTTTCTCGCCAAGATCATCGCAGGATGGGAGGAAAGGCCGCCGCACGTAGCCGCCCTGCAGGAGGAGTCGCCGTAATTTTCCTAGGATGTTCGATCCGAGTAGGGTGCGATGGCAATGTTAGGGCTTGAGGGCCTTCGGAGTCTTAAGCTTGGGATCTTGTGCACGCCCAGTCTAAGGCTTTGTGCTTGGGTTGTTGTGCATGTTCAGTCGTCTCGGCCTTGAACTACTTCGGGCACCTCTAGATTTGTGTATCCGGGCCTTGCGTTGCACCCTCGGATGAGTTTCAATTGAAGGCTCGCTTTTCTAAACGCGAAGGCTTTCGAGGTCTGTGCGAAATCCGCACAGCGATTGTACAGATGGGGTGGGCACCATTCTAAGCACCAGTTCCTATGCCTGGCTGACCGTCCCAAAGGATCCTAAGTACCTTTATGGGGATACTTCCCCGAACCATAAGAGTAATTCCTACTATGTGGGCACTTAGGAGCCTTTGGGTGTGTAGGCAAGTGTGGTACAGGGTTCTCTAATCTAGATTACATTAAGCAAATGTGAATATGTTTCATGACCATTCGTATATGTAATATGTCTCTAAGCATGCATGCCTCAATGTGTGTAAGCAACTGGGCATGTGTGACTGCATATATACATATTGTGTTTCTGCCTTTTTATATATAAACATATATGTGCATACGTTTATATGTGCCTGTGGGCATACGCACTAGGTAGTGTGTGTGTAGATATTTCTTCGACATGCATGCATGCATGTACGCCTGCTTCTGTGTATGTGTGTCTGTACTACACAAGGCTCCAAAGTACCTACATATAACAGAAAGTAGGGTTTCTATATGGAAGGAGTTATACAAACTATTATATATGTTTATTGGGTAGGTATAACTCCCATATATATATATATCTAGGTAGTTTGGAGCCTTTGTATGTACGTATGTACGCAAGCATGCAGGAGTCAATGAGGTTGTGTTTGTGTACTCTAGTTTAAAGAGCCCCTTTCGGTCTCGTCTTGCACTGGGTCTAGGCCTTGCATCAGGGCGAACCCCAAAGCCCCAAGCCCCAAAGCTCTGAACCCCCCTCCAAAAAAAGCTAGGAAACCAAACTCCAAAACCCTAGACCCTAACTCCAAAACCTGAAACTCGGTACCAAGCCGGGCCTTATCTACATATGTACTGCTGTACACGGACCTAGTGGTCCGCAGCTAGCTAGAAACACAAGACGCAACGGGCCCATCCCTCCGTAGGCCTAGGCCTGCTAATACTCGACCGCAACTGGGGGAATCGAGATCAGACGCTTGTGCGATGCCACAAATGCCGGAGCCCATGCCTGGGCGATTCAGTTGGGTTCAAGTCAAGTCCTGATCTTTGTCTCAAGAATTTCCATAGGATCCGTGTACACTCATTATCAAACACAGCTCTAGATGCTTTGTGGGATTCGAACACTATGGGCGAACTGGCAAAGTCACGATATGGGGTTACCGGATCCGGAGGAGTATCAGCTGACCTTGCATGGGGGCACGCTCACCAAGTCTTTATTCTTTACCAGTGCTTATAGGCTACCTTTGGGGTTTAAGCTTTGGGGTTTAGGGAAAGTCCCCGGCCCCGGTACCGACATTCTTCAGGTGGACTAATGATTGCTTCGCATATAAATCCCAACTCTCAGCTAGGTGACTTCGTGGGCATGAATCGAGGTTCCGGGATTTGGCATGACAACATTGAGATGCCTTGGTTACGGGGCTTAAAGCAATGGGTGTAAGGTCCCGCCTCTGGACATGAACAGTTTGTATGTCATACGGTATCTAGGGGTTCTAATAATGAATAATTAGATCCCAATACCTATATCCCAAAGGCTCCATGCACCCATATAGTACATACTTAGGCCTTAAAGTACCTATATAGGGACCCCTTTAAGGCCTAAGTATCTACTATAAAGGTACATGGAGCTACTCTAGGTCGTCAGACTATTAAGGAAGCTCGTGCATAATAAGGACAACCCTACTCCCCAAATACCCACGGGTTGACAATGGAACCCCGGTCAGATCCTACATTTTTATCTAGTATCATATGTTAACACACAACTGGCTCTTCTACCTTAAGGGTGTCACCCGTTTCTATGTTTAGGCATACAAACACTGCATGTACAGTTTACACATACCCAATTATTATTATAAATCTATATGTATATATATATATATACACCACAGGATCCAAAGTACCTACATCATAGAACGTGGGGTCTCGATGTAGTATACTGGCAACTGATATTATGGTTCGGGTAAGTATCCATATATATATATATAGATAGATAGATAGATAGATAGATAGATAGATTATACATAGTGCATGAGTACTTTGGATCCTTTGGTTATGGCCAACGTGCATATATACATCCCTCTCTCTCTCTCTCTATATATATATATATCGTTCGCTTCGTATCTGTATCTATATCTACAGATCATTATATATATATATATCAGACATACATTCATACATGCATACATACATACATGCATGCATGCATACATGCATACATGCATACATGCATACATGCATACATGCATATGTACATACATACATATTCATACACACATACATACAGAGAGAGAGAAAGAGAGAGATATATATATATATATATACATACCTACATATATACATACATACATGTATGTGTGTGTTGTAGCTACCTAAACCCCAAATCCTAAACCTTAAACCCCAAGCCATAAACCCTGCAGTTTAAGAGAGGTACCTGTGGCCATGGATGCAACGCCTCACACTTGGAAGAGTTGCTGGTCATAGACTTCAAGGGTCCTTTGAATCGGCTACCCTAGCTGCTTGTGTACTCTATTTCTTGCCTCCCCAGCAGCTCACCATGGTTTTATGGGTAGGGGCCTAGAAGTCATCACCCCTGAGACACACGGGTTATCGCGAAGTGTAGTGGCACGTGTCATATATTATATGCAAATCCGAAAGGTCCCCAGGTTCCTAATAGTACCTTTAAATTACACTCGGGAATACTTACCCAAACCATCCCTACTGTAATGTTGCCTATGCTAATCATATAGGTACTAATTATAAGGATCCTGAGGGGAATCCCTTTCTGTACATATGTACAGAAAGGGATTCCCCTCAGGAGTACAGCAGCTACCTGTCCGTCTCGCCGTAGCATACGTATATATATATATATATAGGACATGTAGCGGGCGAAAGTCACGTGAGGTGTTTATCCTTTGTCTAGACGACTGGTGGCTGTCCCTGGTATTCCGAGCAGCAGGTAGATGTAGTCGACACATGTTGTTCGAATGCCTGCCAGGGAATGTGATGCGAGGCCTTGATTTGCTCAAAGCTCAAATTCGAAGGTCCAGTCCCAGCTAGTCGTTTGCAGCCAGAATATGCAGGATCTTGCTCAATTTGCTCATATTACCTAAAAAAACCAGCCAGGGCGTTAGAGAGCGTTATTTGGCGTTCAAAGATCTCTCTGGGACACTTTGGGCCGTTAGCAGCCGTTAGGGGCCGTTACGGGGTTTCAGTGGGAAATCGCGGCAGTTAGGAAGCGTTATTTGGCGTTAAAAGGGCTCCCTGGGGCACTTTGGGCCGTTAGTAACCGTTACGGGCCGTTAGTTGGGATTTGCTCAGGGCCGTTAGGGAGCGTTATTGGCCGTTCAAAGTGCCCTCTGGGACAGTTTGGGGCGTTAAACCGCGTTAGTCACCGTTAGTGGTGGAAAATCCGCGAATATCGTGCCATGGCTCTTTCAAAAGCCTGTGGTCCTGCAAGCAGCCAGGCGAGCCGAAACCCCAAATCGGACCCCGCCCAACATCTAATAAGATCATCATATGTCAATATGCAAGCCAAAACCAGGCCCCTTCAGCCCACCTACTCCACCCCAAGCCCATGTATAACTAGCTGAACAATTTCGCTTCAAGTCCAAACCCTGCACCGAATATTATTATACTCTAGGGTCTAGGGGTAGAGCGAGGTCCAGGCCTCAGCCCACGTCCCAACAAATCAACCCCAACCGCCTTCGAATTCTACTTAATATAATCTACAACCCCTGACCAAAGTCCCAGACCCAGGCACGATTACCCAGAGTAGCTAGAGGCAGCCATAGAGATCGATGCATACTCTACAAACAACAAACCTTGGGCCTTGATTCATCGTGCAGGCCAAGAAAATACGGGATGAGGTTGCCGAAGCTTTGAAAGCTGCAGGTGTGCAAGGCTGGCTGGGATGTTAAGCACCCATATAAGTAAAAGCTACCATATGTATTTGTATATGTACATATATATATATATATATATGTACATATATTTATATATGTATATATACATATCTACATATATATATATACATACATATATATATATATATACGTGTGTGTATATATATATATATACAGCATAATATATATATATATATACACATGTATATGTATATCATACATAGAAATATTATATTATATATATATACTAAGCTATAATACGAAACCAGCTGAATGCAGGAGGCGGCGGCACTGGAGGAACAGAAGAAGGCCCAGCAGGCCCAGCAGCAGGACGAAAGGGAAAGCTGCGAATTGTTGGCAAGACGGCCGTGACAGACACGGGTGCACCAGCCGCCAAGAAGCCTACAACGTCTCCGCCCCCGAACCTCACTCCCGTGGATGTGAAGCCGACAGCAAGCAAAGGTTGCTAGGCTTGAATAATCGCACATATCGGTATCATGTCCTGTGAATGCACCCCTGAACCCTATAATCGAAATTTGCCCTGCGCCCCTAAACCCTGAAAGCCTTCCTACAGTCCGAGACCCAGCATGCCTAAGGTGTTCCGATCAAGCGAGAAGTTGCAGTGCCCTCGAAGAAAGCCACAGCTAACCCGGTGCGAGCTGAACCCGTGCAAGCTGCACCCGCACCAACGACAGCCCAGCCAAAGCAGGCCCTACCGACTCCGACCCCAACGGAAGCCCAGCCAAAGCAGGCCCTACCGACTCCGACCCCAACCAAAGCCCAGCCAAAGCAAGCCACACCGACGCCGACCCCAACGAAAACCCAGCCGAAGCAGGCCGCACCGACTCCGACCCCGACGAAAGCCCAGCCTGGAAAGCAGCCCGCAGCACCAGCCAGCAGCCTCAATGTCATGGGCCGTCCGCCAGCCTCGGGACAAGCCGGCAGCACTAAAGTTCCTGTGCAGATGAAGGAGCCTCCCCAGACACCCGGAAAGCCCGGCATCCAGAGCTCGAGTGCCCCGAGCCAACCTGGGGACATGGATGTTTGCATGAGCCCAGCGGTGCCAAAGGCCGCAAGCCCAGTAGTCAAGGATGTGCACATGTCCGGTTGCACGCCAACCCCTGCCAAAGCTGGCACCCCTTACAAGCCAGGGTACACCCCAGTCAAGAGCCCGGACTACAAGAAAGCCCGCAAGATGCTCTTCGAAGATGAAGCCGAGGCGACTTATTGTTAACTGCTAGCTAAACCCTAAACCCTAAACCCTAAACCCTCAACCCGGCTCCAAAGTACCTACATATAGTACAAAGAAGGGTTTCCATACTATTAATAGGAATTACTATTATGGTTTGGGTAAGTATCCCCCATGTAGGTACATAGGATCCTTTGTGCTGATATTATATAGTCATTACTTTTCGCGATCGTTGGACTATCCCCTGGTGCAGGTGCCGTGTGCCACGTCTACGCCTGATCATGAAGCAGTGGCCATGACGCCTGCAGCTGCAGGCTGCTGCCTGTCTTTTACAGAATCGGTACTTAAAACCAATGTGTCAGGTTTGTTCGGCGACCATACTCTATATAAGCTAAACCTCTGAACCCAAACAGGTTTCTGGGTTGCTATATATAAGCAACGCTAACCTTTTTGGTAGCTAGCTAGATAATTATAATAAATTATACTGTTAGTATATATATATATATATATACAAGTTCTAGGTTTCTGGGTTGCTATATTATATAAGCAATGCTAACCTTCATTTGGTTTATTATTATAATATAAGCTATGTACGAGATATAATGATATATTAGTATATGGGGCTTCCGCTAGGGCGGGTTGGTTAGCTACAATTTTTGTAGGATGTGCTTGGGTTGGTGATGTCTAGGCTTGTTTAGCTGCTAATAATAATCATTATACAGCATGGAGGCCTGCCGAGACCTTCGATGCGACGGCCGGACAGCTGCACGACGGTGCCCGTGGGTCGCTCGTCGTCCACATTGGTGCTGGGCGACTTCGGCGATGGTGCCGATGCAGAGGAGCCGGCGACGTCGGTCAGGAGAGTTGTCTTCGAAGGCTACTTTGGAATGAGGTGTCAAGGCGGCAAGGACGACGACTGGCCGGACCTTCATGAAGTCCCAGGGGCATCCGAAATGCTGGTTTGGATGCGGCAAGCTCTCCCGCGAGATGCGGCACAGGGCATCGTGAGCTTCGCTGACTGCCCACCCAACCTGGTTTTGGATATGGCCGGCCTTCCGCACCGGCTTGGACTCGTGAACCAGGCTTGGCTTCAGGTCGCAGTGTACGAGCAGCAGCAGGCCAAAATCGAGGCCTTGACAAAGGCCGTGAACGCCCAGGCCGAGCAGACGGTCCACAAGATGAAGAAGCAGCTGGAGGACGGCAACTTGAGCGAGGACCTGCTGCACAAACGTGCTACAGCCACGGAGCTGTGGAGGAGCAAGAAGATGGAAGAGATCCAGGCCCACCTGGATAAGAGCGAGATAGCGGCACTCGTGGCCATCGACAAGGCAGTCGGCGGCTTGTTGCAGATGTGGGCCCTCTACCGGGATCTTGCTGCAAGCACGCTCGAAAACGACATGGCCGAGCAGCTCTTCATGAACGAGCTGGATGAAGCTATGGCCAACTTCAGCCTAGAGGAGGCCTGGGTCCCGTTGAAGTGATATAGCTTATAACGGGTTTAGGGTTTATAAGGGTTTAGGGTTAGGGTTTAGGGTATTATGATCGACATGAACAGGCTTCATATATTAACACCCTCACCCGAAACTCCCCAGGTGTGGAAAACCCGCAAACCTGCAGCTTGAACCCTAAGCCCATAATGCAACTAATCCCTGATCTTGTTAAAACTTAAACCGCACAAGAGGCCTGTAATGCTAAAAAAAAAGTCGCCTAAAGCCTATATCTGTATTTACCGCACAATACCCACTAAGCCCGAATTCGAAAAGTCCTCTACGCGGAACCTCCAAATCAGCCCGAAAGGACCAGGTACCAGTTCGAAGTCGAGATCTGCACGCTAGTACTGCCTATACGCTGTACTATAGCTAGCTATATTATACGAGTTACGAGTACTGCTGGCTAGTAGTCGTAGTGTCGTAGTACTACAATATATATACTACGTAATACTATCAGCACTATATATAATATATAAACTATATACTATGTTAACCAGTACTAGTGTTACATATATATATATATATATGTATATATATATATATATACTGCTCCTGCTGCTGCTACGGCTAGTGCTACTGCCACATATATATATATATATATGTAACGCTACGCTAGCACTAGATAGCTACGTACTACGATACTACGTATACTACTATATATATATATATATACTACTACTACTTATACTACTACTACTACTACTACTACTACTACTACTATTCCCAGCCTATATGAAAGACAGAACCTCCGAAAATGGTAAAGAAGACATGCGGGTGTCGCATCTTACTCCTCCGTGCTCA